GAATTTTTCATAATGATGTTTTGAAGGTCCGTGTTGCTTTGCTCTTTTTTACCTTGAATACTGTTCGTTATCTCCATATGTTTCACATAATCGATTGGCAGAAATTATCTCATTTCAAGTTGTTATGATCCCGGATTTTATGCATCCTTTTTGTTCCCGATGTGTTAGATAAAAACGTGCTTGAAGATTTCAATGTCAACTTGAAAATGTGTGTTAATTTATAGCATATTACTATAAATACCACATCCTATTTCAAATATATAACACATTCATCTAAGAGGTAAGAATTGTGTTTATTAATTGACAATAAATCATATATAATTATTAATTAGTACATAGAAATAAATTAACTGATTTATTTTTTGTTTTAAGCGATATTATGAATTTTAATTTCATAACTACTTTGTCGTTCATTCTTTTCTTTTTTTTGGGGGGGGGGGGGGGGGATTTTTCCCTCTGAAACTATGTTGCAGATGTTTCCTTTTAAAGAATCACAGGATGAAAAGCCAGGTTTCCCAAATTTGGAAACCCGATGGAAACATATGGGAATCGTGACATCAGTAGTTTCCATATAGTTTCCATTTTATGGAAACCACATAGTGGTTTCCACATAGATTCCCGACATGGAAACAATCAACCTGTGGTTTCCCGTAAGTTTCCCAAGATAGGAAACCATGGAAACATACCCAGGTGGTTTCCACATAGATTCCCGACATGGAAACAATCAACCTGTGGTTTCCCGTAAGTTTCCCAAGATAGGAAACCATGGAAACATGCCCCGGTGGTTTCCATGTAGATTCCCGATATGGAAACAACCAACCTTTGGTTTCTCGTAAGTTTCCCAAGATAGGAAACCATGTAAACATGCCTCAGTGGTTTCCATACAGATTCCCGACATGGAAGCCACCAATGTGTAGTTTTCCCCATGTTTCCCAGGCAGGGAAACTTTGAAAGTATATCTCAATGCTAACCACCTACCTTTTATTCTACAAAAAGTTAAATATTTAATTATGTTAACATATTTTTACCAACTATAGAAATATTTCAAAAGTGTTTACATGCTGTATCAAAATAATTAACTTCAAACAGTTAAAATAACTAGATATGTATTTCTATGTGTCACTGATTAATTTAATATTTCAGCACCGTGAACGCAATTCAATTTTAATTTAATTTTATTGAACTGAATTATATTTGATTTAATTAAATTTTGAATTTGATTTATCACATAAGTTTTGGTAAACTCGTATAAAATGCGTGAAGTGGAATAGAAAAAAGTAAGTGCATGCAGTTATGTAGAAATCAATCATTTCCGATCCCACATTCTTGAAGCTGTCTATGATGAATGTTCCTTTGAAAAAATGGAAGAGCTAAGTAAGGGTACATTTAATGAAATTATTTACAGAAAATGTTTATTAAAAAGATCGATTAAAAAGTAAATAAAGAAATATGTCAAGTTACGATTACTGATTAAGGACAGGTGAAACGTTCCTCAATAAAATAATTAATTTTTTTTTCCAATATTTTGCAATTGACATTGAAGAATTATTATTTTTACATAATTACATGTTTTCACAAGACATCAAGGTACCTTACCAGGCATTTGTGTTAGATACCAGAAGTTGGCATTTCTTATATACCGGGGTAATCCGTCAGGAAAAAAATGCTTCAGTTGGTTTGTCAAAATTACATTTTTAGTGTTTCAAGTTTTTAAATACAAGTTTAGAAAGTGATAATAAAAGATTTTGTTTTAATATGAATTAATATATTAATATAAACTGGTCAGATTAGAATCATTCATCGAATTGGCTGGGGGTTAAATATTATCATACTGATACTTTACTATTAATAGTGAATATTGTTTTTTTTTAATTTAGTAAATTATTATTTTTATCATTGGGGGTGGGTGGGTTGCTTTTCATTTTTCCCTGAGAAGCCCCCCCCCCCCCCCCCCCACACACACACAAAATAACGCTTTTGAAAAAGTCACTATGGTCGGCCTGTGTAATTAGGGACACCTGTCCTCACGTGCCATTTCAGGTGGAGACACGTGCCGCGAAGACACCTGTCACTGTGTATTTTTTGTATATTCTATGTGAATTGAGACGGTTTTGTACCTAAAGGGAACAATAGGCTGTTGTCGAGCATATACACACACAGACTCCGACCGAAAATCCCTTTGAATTAAGATGATGATTCGTGTTTCTTTTATCATTTAAAAAATTGTATATTCCATAAATAAAGTTATACAAGAGAACATATTTATAAAATAACCTTCATTTAAGAAGTTCAATGAAAAAACAAACTATTTAGAATTTTTATTTCAATTTTCATTACTGATTTAAAATAAAACTATCCTCTTTAGAAATTAAATAATTTTCTATAGGTATTGTCTATTGAATAGATCTTAATTCTCGTCGTGTATAATATTAAATCAGAATGACGTTAAAAGATCAATGTGAAATCAAAACTGTATTTAATATTCTTGATGGGTTTTTGTGTGAAATTTGTAATCTAACGTACCACATAGACATTTATTAGATAAATGTTTATAATATAATTCATCACATAAAACTTTTTTTTTCCCTTTATTTGCTCAAATATGAACGCAGATCCCCGTGTAGTAAACGCCTGCACTTTTCGCATGAAATTACAATGTAGGGTCCTAAATGCACATACATCATATTTAACAAACTTTTTTCAGCCATTTTTTTTCTCCAAAGGCCATTGCTTTAGATAAAGAAAAGTCTATAATATTTTGCATGATTTTGTTTTTCTTAAGAACAATGGCTTTTAAAGTAGTACATGCTACTAAAGGCAATCTATTAAAAGAATTACTTGTATAATTAATTCATTGCATAATTGTCACAGTTGTATTTTGTTCAGTTTTTGTTGATTTCATTCTATAAAGGTATGAAGTTTGTCAATACTTCAACAAACATTTCTTTATATATGTTTTGCACTACTTTATTTTTATTCGCCGACATGCAAAAAAAACTTGGGTGACTAATAGACTCGATCTTCAGGCCTGTAGGAAAGTAATTTCCGTTAGAGTAATAAACTAACCGGGATTTTATTTTTACTAACATACCTTACCAGATTTCTTAACAAAAAAAAAAAATCATAGAAATACAGGGCGGGACCAGCTAAAGCTGTATGCATAAGCACAGTCCTGCACATCAACGAGTATAGATGACTTTCGACATAATCTTTCCCATGACTTCACTTATACCAATCACGCCTAAAATACTGAATTAAAATACTGTTATATTTTCCTGCCTTTGATAAGATGTTAGTTTTGTTCCGCCTAGAGATATAACTCTCCTAAGAAAAAGGTTTTCAACATAGATTCTGATTCATTTAACAATTTTACGTGTTAAAATTATGTGGGATTTTTTTTTTCTTTAGCTTTTTTCCGTGTTAAAATGATGTGGGATTTTTTTTAAACTAAAGGCCAAGGAGTTTAAAGTACAATGTACATGTAGCAATTAGAGAAAAGTCGAGCAGGTCCACCAGTAATATTGATAGCATGCACAAAATCTAATTAAACCCCGAAAAGGAGGGAGTTCAATTAGTAATTTAATCCCCCCCCAAAAACCAACAATTTATTAGCAATGAACTATTAATCACCGAACTTTTCAATCATCACTATTGAAATAAAAAAAAAACTGTTCTTGATAATCATATTATAATTGTAGCTAATTTTCATGCCTTTTAGGATTCCCGTGGAAAGTTCACAATAAAAAAATGTGCTTTTAAAAATTTAACATCTTTTGGTGTGACATTATAAATTCATAATCATATATGTAACAGTTAAAAGAAGTTGGGAGAGGGGGATTACTTTCAGCAAGGACGGCCACTACCAATAACCAAGCCCCGAAACCCATATCCCGAAGGCAAATAAGTTGAGGTGTCAAGCAAGAAACAATTTTTTTCTGCTCTTGCATCATGTATTTAACCGCTTTTTTTTCTAAATATACAGTACTAGGCCTACAAATCATATCGGCAAAAATATTTAGGAGCCGCTCTTTTTATTCCATGAAAAAGCGGAAAACTTAATTGAATTCTAATATGAGATCTCATAATCACACTTAATCATAGTGAATGAAAACAGTTTATATTTCCCATCCTGCATCGCTCTCTGGGCGCTTTATTTCATTGGTCAATTTCCCGAGGCGCCATTTTTGGAGGATCGAGAAGGACGAAGAAGAAGGTGTAAGCAGCTGATAAATGTGAAAAGTTAAGATGGTTTCACCACCCAGTGTCTTTAAGACTGTGATAAATGCAATGAACAACGATGAAGGATTAGTGTACGTATATTTTTGTTAACTTTTTACGGTAAATAGTTGTAATATTTGGCAACAACAAATCTTCACTATCGGTGGCAACTTCTGTTCTGACGCCATTTTGAAAAGTTGGATACCTAAGTTTTAAATTGTTAAGTGTATATATTGCAGAGAGAATCAAAGAGAGAGAGAGGAAAAAAATTGAGACAGTGATATAGCATAACTTTGATTATGGAGGCCTCAAAGTCACCGTGCATGTACATGCTGTATGTTGTAAAATGGCAACGTTTCGCTTTTTATCATGTTTATTAAAATGTATGCTCCATATATATGTTCTCTCTCTCTATATAAATGAATTCTTTTCGGAATTAAAAAAAAAATATTTTTAACCCCGCTCAAATTATCCGGATGATAATAGTTACACCGATCATGGTTTCGTATTTAAGTTCAGACTGTAGAACATCCGGTTTGAATACATGTGTTTTCTGACTTTTCGGATAGCCAACTCTTGTTTTTTGGAACTTACGACTTATGGCAAGGTATAAATTAAATATTTTTGGTTCAAAACTTTGATAAAAGCATCAATATTTTTACGAAAAGTGTCTTCAATCTCAGCTTATCCAATTATTCATGAAGGATATCCTCATCAGAATTTACAGTAGAAATAGATTGTAGCAAATAGCATAACCCTTAATCATATGCATATTGATGATATGGTAGTCTCGTTCAACCAGACCCTCGGCTGTCTCCGTAAATCTCCGACCACCCAGAGGGTCTGGTAAAGAATCATGTTAGCGTTTGTAACCGTCAGAGGGCGCTATCTTGTTTTCATTTTGACGATCCTTTTTGAAAACAAACGTTAAATGTGTTTCTTCTTCTGGATTGTGTCTTTATATAAATAAATTAATCTTTAATTTGGGACACCAAACGAGAAATTGCTATATCAATCGAAGGAATGTGTATTACGCAGGTAGGGCTACACTACTTTCACTTTTGCTTTCGTACCGAATATTTGCAAGATACACACTTATACACTTACCTATAACTGGTGGGCATTACTGTAAACAATTCCTATCTAACAGCTTTAACTTTCAGACATATAACTTTTACATCTTTAAGTTATTTTTCTGCTGATCTATCATGTATTTATTTAAATCGTGTAGGTGTGTTCTTTTCAGCCAATCAAAAACTTTACCAGAATTTCAGTAAGCCTCGTTTTGGCGTTACAAACGATATTGCGTATCTTTACCAGACCCTCTGGTTGGTCGGAGATTTACGGAGACAGCCGAGGGTCTGGTTGAACGAGACTAATGATATGGAGGAAAAATATACATAAAAAAGTGAATGTAGGTGAAAGCCTGTCCACTTTTCTGAAGAGATTAGGTTTGTTTTATTGTTTATTGATATAGATTAGGCTTTATAAAATTAGTCTTTAGATTCTCATCCCCGCCCGCCCCTCTCAAAATGTCCCGCCCCGATGTTTTTTATTTTGATTTTTGGGTATTTTCATGTATTTTTATACAGTAAGAATTTGGGTCAAAGTTTAAGAGTTATCTCCCGTCTGTATTTAAAGTCGCGTGTTGCTATTTATAGAAAAAACGCCATGTGAAGACTGGAGAAAAACGGCAATAAAAGCAGTTTAAATGTGTAAGGAAAAGTTAATTTGTCAGTATAGAGAAGCCAGAGAAGAAAAAATGGCATAAACACATACAGATACCATCACTGGCAGTAGAAGTATGTAGAGAGATTGTAATAAGTATAAATAGACGAGGAAAATGACATCTGGTCAAGTTATATATAACGATCTCCAGCTGTATGACTTAGCTTTGAAATAAAAAAAATCTACAACATCGTAGACAGACTTAAGAGAAGGCCTAGATGTTTCAGTAGGATAATTATTAGAACATTTATATAGATTTTGCAAAATAGGAAGTCACGCATACACAATTTATTGGTATCCCCACCTCATTTTGTTCAGAGTGTGCCGTATAATGTGTGCTTGATTATTTATTAATAAACAATAAATATTTAACTTTTAAAGCAAAAATTTTCTTTAAAAATTTAAAAGAATATGAAAAGAATTAAATCTATTCATATTTGCATTAAGGTAATGAAAAAAATGTGTACGGGGGCGTCCATTGTTTTGTTGAAACTTAGGCCTATATATAAATTAACAATTATAAAAAATAAAAAATAAAATCCGCCCACCCGCCCCAATTTTTTAGCGAATTAGGATGAGAATCTAAAGATTAATTTTACCTGGCCTTATTGCTCAAAAGATTTTTTTTTTGTAATGTCTATCCTGTTGAGATGAAGATGTAAAAAAAAAACAGGCTAATAGTGAATTAATATTGATAGTATTGACTTGTTTTTAGCTCTACTGGTCAGAGACCAGAAGAGTTTATGCGATAGTAATGCGTCCGGCGTCCGTCCGTCTGTCCAGCTGTCCGTCTGTCTGCAAACACTACTCCTCCTTAAATTTTAGTCTGATTTCAATATAACTTGGCAAACAAGTAGACTACACATAATTCTGTGCATCAGTCTTTGATAAGTACAAACCAGTAGAGCTACAGTCTCGACAGAGACCTCTGGTTATTTTTCTTCCATCCTGGTTGTTGCTAATGCTATTACATAATTAGTTTAAATTAGAATGCAATAGTACCACTACCTGGACATAATTTATCATTTCAGAGAGAAGAAAACTGTGTGACGTTAAAAGAAACCAGTGAGATAAAATCATAGAAAATGTATGATGATTCAGGATGTGGTCATTTGGTAAGTGGTAATTCATTCATGATTAGTATGTATATGACAATTGCCTGAAAAAAAGATTCTAAATTTTATCTAAATACTGAACTGTGGTATATCAGCTGTGAGCTACAAGAAGTTTTATGTAAAAGCTACTAGGGCTGAAACAATTTGCCCCCTCCATGTTATGTGTGTATTGCTATGATTGACATACAATCAGTTCTCTAATACATACACTTCAATAAAACTTTGTCATCTTGAACCTGAATTGAAAAGAAAAAACTCTGAGATCTTTCGAAAAAAAAAATGAATGAAAAAAAGGAAATGCATATTAACTGATTTCTTGCTGGTCAGTATTTTGATTACTGAAAGGAAGCTCTAAAAACTAAAGAGTTCTACTTTAATATCAGGTAGTTTTATGAAGTTAGAGTGATCTGCCCTTAGATTAAGATTATGAAAAATATTATTTTACATTCAGTTAGATTATTTTTGATAGATTAAATTATTTTAAGCATTATTAGAATTTAAAAAAATAGGAAATTAGTTATTAGCTCACCTGAGCCGAAGGCTCAAGTGAGCTTTTCTGATCAAAATTTGTCCGTTGCCTGTCGTTGTTGTTGTCGTAAACTTTTCCATTTGTTTTCACATTTTCATCTTCTTCTCAAAAACCACTGGGCCAATTTCAACCAAACTTGGCACAAAGTATCCTTGGGTGAAGGGAATTCAAGTTTGTTCAAATGAAGGACCACGCCCTTTTCTAAGTTTTACTGTTACATAGGCATATATAAGAAAAATCTTTAAAAATCTTCTTCTCCAGAACCACTGAGCCAGAAAAGATGAAACTCATGTGGAATCATCCTCAGGTAGTGTAGATTCAAGTTTTATCAAATCATGACCCCTGGGGCAAGGGTGGGGCCAAAATGGCCGACCCAGTTTTACATAGGGATATATAGATAAACCTTTTAAAATCTTCTTTTCAAGTACTTCAAAGCTATGATTAGTGATATTTATATGGAATCATCCTCAGGTAGTGTAGATTTTAGTTTGTTCAAATGATGAACGCCTGGAAGGGGGGGGGGGGTAAATTCAAGCCCGATGTGCTCAGGTGTGCGCTGTGGCCCCAGGGCCTCTTGTTTTCATAAATTTTTCCAATGTAAGTAAACAGCAATGATTTCTGCTTACAGATAGTCCATTGTCTTTGAAAATTTCTTGGGGGAAATGAGGCACATACCATATGTTCTAAATGCATAAAAAAGGCTCATTATGCATATATTTATATGAAATATGATAGATTTTTTTCTCTCCAAAGAATAATTTCTGCAAGTCACTAAGTTTTTAGAGTTTCCTTTATTTTATAGATATTCGATGAAATTATTTGAAGTATTAAATTTTGGTAAATTTTATGATACTAAAAGGTTATATGGATGAAAAAACAGCATGCGTGTATGACAATCAGGGCTTAAATTTTAATGTCTGTTAATTTTTAGCTCACCTCAACGAAGTTGGGGGAGCTTATGTAATACCCTCGGCGTCGGCGTCGGTGTCGGCGTCGGCGTTGGCGTCCCAGGTTAAGTTTTTTGGAGCAGTTTTCTTTTTAACTACTTCTATGTCCTATATGGATTAGACATGCATGGAGGATGGTTCTAGTGTGTTTCATTGCACCATTCAAAGTTTCAGATGCTGCAATTTCAGCAAAGAAATGACCAGGTTAATGTTTTTGGAGCAGGTTAACATTTTTGGTGCAGTTTTTGGTGTAGGTTTCATTTCCAAGTAACTATAAGCCCTATGTTGACCAAACTTGCATGGATGATAAATCTAAGGATGCATACTACCAGGCTTGCTTCGGATGCTGAATCTGACCTACATTTTCCGGTTGAGTGAACAGGTTAAAGTTTTTGGTGCAGGATTCATTTCCAAGTAACTATAAGACCTATGTTGACCAAACTTGCATGGATGATACATCTAAGGATGCATACTATTGGTCTTGCTTCGGATGCTGAATCTGACCTACTTTTCCGGTTGAGTGAACAGGTTAAAGTTTTTGGTGCAGGTTTCATTTCCAAGTAACTATAAGACCTATGTTGACCAAACTTGCATGGATGATACATCTAAGGATGCATACTATCGGGCTTGCTTCAGATGCTGAATCTGACCTACTTTTCCGGTTGAGTGAACAGGTTAAAGTTTTTGGTGCAGGTTTCATTTCCAAGTAACTATAAGCCCTATGTTGACCAAACTTGCATGGATGATACATCTAAGGATGCATACTATCGGGCTTGCTTCAGATGCTGAATCTGACCTACTTTTCCGGTTGAGTGAACAGGTTAAAGTTTTTGGTGCAGGTTTCATTTCCAAGTAACTATAAGCCCTATGTTGACCAAACTTGCATGGATGATACATCTAAGGATGCATACTACCAGGCTTGCTTCGGATGCTGAATCTGACCTACATTTTCCCGTTGAGTGAATAGGTTAAAGTTAATGCATGATTCATTTCCAAGTATCTATGATTCTTTAATGACCAAACTTGCATGGATAATACATATAAGGATGCATACTACCAGGCTTGCTTCAGATGCTGAATCTGACCTACTTTTTGTGGATGAGTAAAAATGTTAGTTTTTGATGCATATATGTTTCATTTCCAATTAACTATGAGCCCTATAATGAGCAAACTTGCATGGACGATAAATCTTAGGATGCAAACTAATGGACTTGCTTCGTATGCTGAATTCGACATGCATTTTTCAGATAATAGACCAGGTAAAAGTTATGAGAGCAAGTCTAATACCAAAAAACTATAAGGCTTACATAACATTGTATAAACCAAACTTGCACAAACGTTGCATCAAGAGATGAAAACTCTCAAATTTGCTTCAGATTCTGGATTTTAATTACATTTTCATGAAGAAGAACTAGTTTAAATTTTTTATGTAGGTCTGTTCAAAGTATCAGATCAAAATTGCTTAAATATTTTCATTTTTGGAATGTACACTTTTTGTTGGTTAATTGTGTGACTTTGCCTTACTTAAAGACAACATTCGTTGAGGTGAGCTCTGTAATCTCTGATTACCTATGTTTCAGTGACATTAAAACAGGAATTGTCATCACCAATAGACGAATTTCACATTCCTAAGAGTTTTTTCCAATTGTCGGCGTATTGCTCATTTTTCCCACTTTGTCCTTTGTAAGTTACTTGTTAATATATTTTTAATCTTCAAAAATATTGGACAATTAGGATCTGAATCTGTATTGCCAGAGTATGGGGACAACATGAAAATCATAATGAATATGTTCATATAGATTTTATTTCTAAGATATTGTCTCTCAGCGTTGATACGGTTAAAGAGGGAAAACAGCGTCTTAAGCTGGTTGACCCCAGATTGACCCTGCGAAGGGGAATAACTTTTGTAAACGTGAAAGTCCTTTATGGTATATCATATAGATCTAAAACTGACTGAATATTGATCAGCCAATTCATGAACATGATGAATGGATGTAAATAATGTTGGTCAATATATGTAAAAAAAAAAAATTAAATTACTTGTTTGTTTATAAATTTGTGGTATCTCTCCAACTGAAGTTTATAAACTTGTTATTTATTTCTTAAATAAACTGAGCATACATGCAAAACCGGTATAAAATTACTCATAAGATACATGGATACTTAAACCATGATAAAATCATATGTGTCCAATGCAGCATATGATAAATCATTAACATACAAGTACATGTGTATATATACTGTAATACATATATATTACATTATTTTTAGGTCCTGTTCTGTGGATGCCCTCAGACAGTGTCTACCCATCACTCCATGTGACCTTGGACTAATTTTCTAGGTCAAAGGTCAGTATCAAAATGTACTGTATATCTTTATTTAAATTCGTAGTCCAGAGTATATTTCTCCCCTGGTGTAATCTAGCTTTTGTCTAATGGGGTGGAGGGTCTGCAATGCTCTTCAACCAATTTATAGGTTGAATATCAAAATTAATAAAAAAAATCTCTCCCTAATATTTTTGTTATTATAAAGGGTATGTTTTCTCTCAAACTAATCAAACTTAAAGCAGGGTACATAGTATGATATACATGTAGTAATATATTCTCAATGACATAATAAGGCTGAAAACATTATTTATATCATGTTCTTTTTTTCACTAATCATAAAGCATTAAATATTAAAGAGATAAATTAAATGCTGAAATCATATGTATCATGGTCATGGAAAGTAATTATTGATATTGATCTATTAAAGACATTGACTGATCTTTCAGATTTCTAAGTTATCAAGCATTATAATTCTGACATCATATAATAATTTTGTATGAATATTGCAGATCATATGTGATGTGAAGAAAACCAGGAAACTGATGTTGAAAGAAGTACTTAATGACCCTTATGAATGGACTTGAATGTGAAAGACTGTCTATTGTTTATCTAAGATATATGAATTTATTTAATATTTTGATATCATTGAAAAATTCAGTTACAGTTTATGTACATCAAATGAATTATTAAACATTTAAAATGGTAATGCTTTTTTCTTTTACATGTAATAAATTTTTTTGATAGATTTTTAAAAGAATGCGCATTATTTCACATTGCTTCCTTTAGAAAAGTTGGGGAATCTTGAAGTTTCCCAGTAATTTCCACCAGGAATGGGACTCCAGATAATTCCACCAAGTTTCCGCCACACAGAAAGTGCTACACAAGTTCCATATAGTTTCCTGAGTCAAGGAAACTTCAGGAATCATAAGGTTTCACGAGCTTCCATGTTGTTTCTGATAAAAGAAAACCTTAAGATTCCATCAAATTTCCATTCCACGGAAACCACTACGCTCATATTCCATATGGTTTCCTGAGTCGAGGAAACTTAAGAATTGTGAGGTTTCCCAAGCTTCTATGTAGTTTCCCGTATAAGGAAACCTAAAGATTCCATCAAGTTTCAATTCCACGGAAACCCCCTACGCTCCGATTCCATCAAGTTTCCCGAGTCAAGGAAACTTAAGGAATCGTGAGGTTTCCCGAGCTTCCATGTAGTTTCCCGTATAAGGAAACCTAAAGATTCCACCAAGTTTCCATTCCACGGAAACCCCCTACGCTCCGATTCCATCAAGTTTCCTGATTCTGGAAACCAGTGGAATCTTCAGGTTTCCCATTACTGGAAACTACGTGGATGTTCGGGAAACTTCAGGTTTACAGAGGTTTCCGTGGTTCAGGATACCTTATGGAATCGGAGCGTAGGGGGTTTCCGTGTCATGGAAACTTGGCGGAATAACCTAGCATCCGCTACGGAAACCACTGGGAAACATGATGTAAACTTGAGGTTTCCATGTGGTTTCCATAAAGTTTCCCATGATGGGAAACCACTTTTTTCACCCAGTGAATGCTTTTTTTTTCTTTTACAGACCCTGTTGATCTTAAAATGGTTTCTACAACTGTACGCAATGTTTGCCCTAGTCTCTCTTTCTCTCTCTCTCTCTCTCTCTCTCTCTCTCTCTCTTAAATATTTTATAACAAGATTCGAAAGCAATGTTTAAAAGCTTGATGAATGATAAGTTTATTGCAAAACATAAAAAAACAACATTTTCAATATTATACATTTCTTACCTCACGATTCTATTATTTTAAGTGCATTTTTAAATATTGTTGATTCCCTACTTTACTTGACAGGTCCCTTTTATCAGATCATCAGATTTTACTTGTGGCATAAAAATTACAGTTACAGAGAATGTATTTTGTATTGATATGGTCCAAAAAAATTCTTTTTAAAGAAATGCCATGCATGCGTCTGATTTTTAATAATTATATGCATCCAATAATAACTTGAGGAACTGATAAGTTTTAAAATGTTATATCGTATTTAATCTTTTTTTCATCCGACTTGAAGCTTTGCCAATCTTCTTGGCTATTATCCCCATCATTTAGACACATGTCTTCATCACACATTATGTATCGAAACAATGTGATGATCTATAACTAGTTCTTTTGTTTATCGATTTTTACCCTTAAATCGTCCACACAAACCTCACGAGCTCCAAACGTTTTAAGCAATGTATCAGTGCCGTCATTTTAATGTATATGCATAGCAAACAGAAATGACGTTATTAAGGTCCACCGTTTCCAACGGAAGACCTTCTACTGATTCTGATGATTAAGATTATTCTTATTATTCTTTTTTTTTCCTTTTCCTAGACGCCAACTTTGAGGCCTCATATCTCACTCATTTCTCAAAAGATTTTGCTCAAATTTTCAGACGTTATAGACATTAATAAACTCTATTAGAATGTTGTCTAACATTTCAAAAATGTACTTCCCCTTTAAACGAAAATTTATAGGCTTTCATTTCCAGACAAAGGCTCAGAAACCACAAAAGCTGGAGCAGAAATTCTACTGATTTTAGATAACAGAAGGATTGAAGTTGTGCATGCCGGTTTTTGTTTTTCGATTTCTGTATTCAAAATGGCGTTATATAGGGGTCAAAAATTAGAACGCCTAAAAGAGCAAAAATTTACACATATTTTCCATTTTATCTTCTAAATTAAAAATATTTTGTAGAAACATATAGAACAAAATTTGTGAAGAATTACAAGATCTTTCAATTGATATATCGGAAAAAAGGCTGACCCCTAAATTAAAGGATCTAGAGGGGCCGAATGTTTTTTCCGGATATCTCAAAAAGTATTGCTAATTTGTTATACATCAAAGAAGCAAAGTTGTTCAAAATCTCTAGTAGAATCTATTGAGACCATCAAGATACGTCCTGTGACGTCACTTTAGGCCAAACCGGAAGTAGTCAGAAAATGCATATTTTTGCCGTTCTTGGCAAATACCGACATGAACAGCATTTTCCTATGTATTTCATTGAATAAGCATCACCTGTTTTCATCAAAATTAGTGTATTTGAATTACTATTACAATTTTATACGCATACCAATCTAAAAAAATCAGAAAGGAAAATTTAAAACGAAAGGATTTAGCTGACAAATTTTGTCCTATGTATTCAGACAGACATTGAATCTGTGATCCACCTTAAAATAAAATTCTCAATGTGATAAAAGGTACATTTAAAATAAAATTATTTTTTGAAGTTCAAACAAACCTTTTCATCGTGCACGTGGGAAATCAACTAGAAGTTCTGATGGATATATGGATATTCTATTTTTACTCCCTCTTATATATGCTAATTGATTTCAAATGTAATCGATTTCACGTGCCTCCACGTAATGTACTCATTTGTTGGGGATGTTTTTTATTGAATTTAAAACCTATGTGAAGTTTCCTCTTGACATACGCCTAATACAAAAACTCTTTGTACATCTTAAAGTAGCATGCATTTGGTTTCAAAACTGCTTATTAAGATTTTATTGAAAAACAAAGTTTTTTATAAAATAAATTTATGTGAATATAACTTAGGACAGAAAAACAACCTTTGTTACACAATAAATCTTTAGGGAAAAAATCCTTCAAATAAAAAAAAAATCACTAAATACGTTAAATTCATATTTTTAAATTATATTCAGGGCATGAAAATCCACCTGCAAGTGGTGGCGTCTCCATATGAGTGAAAAATTCTCGAGAGGGACGTTAAACAATATACAATCAATCAATCAATCAATCAATCAGGGCATGAAAATATTTCGTTATACTAGTAGTGGGACGAAAGATGACAGTAATACAGAGTGAAAAACAGAGAGAATTTCCTCTTTTGGGGTTGTGATAGGACTGTTCTAGATGACATTTTAGGCTTTACATGTAACAGGACTTAAGCTTAAGATGTTTCAAGATCCCGGGGCCAGCATTTTTAATGTAACGTTTAATATGTAAGATGACCTAACTTAATTTATTTGTTTCGGTCGAAGTCGAACAGGTGTTTGAAAATCTAGTCCAGGGCCTAATCACTCCCCACACTTGACAGTACTGTAGACGCATTTTTCTCAACGTTTTCAAAATTCCGCAGGATATTAATTTCCGTTTTTTCCGCGGGTTGAAATTTACGCGGATTTCTTAGACTGTCACTATATGCCTTACATTTATATTCAGTACGCTCGGACGAATTTCCGCAGAAAATGTGTGACCGCGTACATAGCATAAATTAATCATGTTAATACCAAGCGGAAAAATACTTCTACAGTATATAGAAAAATCAGCACGCCCTAAATTTTGATAAATCTGGTCAATACAGGAAGTTTACATGTTGTTTTTTTTTATCTCATAAAAAAATCAGCTCCAGTCTCTTATCAAAATGCCCGAATCGGAAGGGGAGATACCGGGATTATTTTGCGTCAGCCATGATTTGACGTAAACCAAAGTGAAAAACTGTTATGATATCTTTATTAATGAGTCATCTCTCGTGAGACATCACAATGAAAATTTGAGTTCTTTCGCTATCCAATTTACAGCACATTCATAGTATAACAAAAGTTGGAAATGCTCTTCGGTACAAATCAACAGTGAGGGTTTTATTGATCATGTATACGAGGGGTGATAATGAAGTTTGCGAACCATCTGTATGCTTAGAGGATATCTATATTGTGTGATTTGATATTGGCTTTATCCAACGAGTTGAAACGGTGTATATATTCGCGAGGCTTGTTGATTGAAAATAACCATTCCAACTAGTTAGTTAAGCCAATATCGAATCACACAATTATAAATGTTCTATTTATCTCATACGACTTTCGTTTCAACAAAACTTTATTGGGACTTCCCCTGCGAAACTTTATGAATTATGCTAATTTAAATTGATAACGTATAACTTGATAACGTTGCATGTTGACATGCCTCGAAAGGAAGTAGATCGTCTTCAAAATTTAGAATTTTTGCTATCTGCGTCTTTGAAAACATTATTGACAATTGCTGGAGCTTTGCATTCATCGAACTTTTGACTGAAAGTTATAAGAACCAAGGGATGATGAAAATTAACTCTTTGTACGATGGCAGTACAGAACGTGCTAGGCAAGGACAGGCTACTTGTAGATTCATGGTAAGTTACACCTACATAACTAGGTAGGCATGCGTAGTATAAGAAAGCACTGTGGACGATGTTAAAGGAATCTTATAACAACAAATTAACTGCTAGGCTTAACTTTCTCCTAAAACGATTTAATTAAAGTGTGTGGGGGAGGGGGGGGGCTAACATCCGTCTTCAAGCAGCCAATACAGGTACCTTGATAAAATAAGAAACTCCTTGTTTTATTTACGAGTCATCCACACTATGAGATAAATGTATTTACAAAATCAAAACTCAGATCAGCAAGACATTTTTGCACACATTAAGTCATACACATGTTCTATAAATACTAGTGGCATATGCAATGAAATGTTTTGTCCCATCCCTGAGACGTCACAATGAGAAAAATTCGGAAATATGTAGATCACTTGTCACTCAGTACTCGAGAAAAGAACGGCTGAAAAGTTAAACGTTACTCAAGCC